AATAACTTCCAAGCCTACTTGTTATTGTTCGTGACACTGATCCGAATCAGGGGAGAGGAATGCTTAATCCTTTGCCATCTCACCAAAGCTTCATCCAGATATGTTGTAATCAGGAAATAATTAAAGGTCTGAAAGCTAAGTTTTGTATTGTGCACATCAAAGACGAAATGAGCTTTAGTCTATTCTAAATCTCATCATTTGTAAGAGCCTGGTTGGATCTTACCTAGTGCACAGTGGATAAAAATCCAAATAGTAAGGCATGAATCCTATAATCCATGATTATTGGTAAGAGATGGATACTTAGAATCATATTGTATTGATTCTGGAGTTAGTAGTTAATTTTGTGATCTCTGGACACTAATTGCATTTAGTTTTGGTCAATTTGTTTTAGTTTCTGTTTACAATAGAAACTATTACAAATTCTGTAGGTGAAATTTAGGGGGCTTTGCAAATCCCATACTTTAATTGCAAGTTTTCTCTAACTTTTCCCCATTCAGTTTCATTGAATATCAGAATGTTAGCATTATAAAAGAAAGATAAAATTATTTTCCAAATCTAATCTATGTTTGCATAAAATTCCAAATTCCTTCAGTAATCCAATATATAGAGTAATTCTTCAGGCTTGGAGTAGATACCCTGTTGTGCAGGTCATCTGTGGACACAGGGATAACTCTGCAGTCCCAGTCTGAATGTGGAGAATCAAGCACAGTGGGGGCACTGGAAGTCCATTTTGTAGTAACCACGAGTGTTATTTTAAGACTGCTCAAGGTTTTCTGTTAGTTTTTTTGTGGCACCTTTTTTACAAAGTTGAAAAAGCACAGGGCTCACCACTGGCTTCCAATCTGTTGCTATAGCTTCCAGTTCTCTTGGCTGGATGTCACAGTGGTGTATGGTTTCTTTTTCCAACTCTGGTAGTACTTGAGTGGTTGACCTTGAGGTCTCTTCCCAGATTCCGTACACTAACCAGAGAGGCATACAGTGGTCATCCATTCTGAAAATGTGTTCACCCATCTCATCTGGGCTTGGATAATCAGTGCCTCAAATAAATTTTTAATACTGATCTCTTCTTAGGCCCTTAAAACATACCTGTTTCAGAAAATAATGGATTTATTGGTGTAATTTAATTTATTTAGATATGTTTATTAAGGATTTTAACATTTCTAAGATTTGTATTTATAAGCAAACCTGAAGGAATGGCATGGATAGAGACTAATTTATAGAGATCCTGTTGGTTGTCTGACATTTTATAGGAATATGGTTCTCTGGAGCCATGGGACTTTTTTCTTCTCTATTTTTTAGTATAAGGGGGTCCCAACCTTTGAGTAGGGGCCCAGTATCAAGCCACACCCCATTCAGAACTGGGCCACGGAAATGGCAGGCAAGTGTATGCATGTTCATAGTTTACTGATGTAAGTAGTGGGCAAGCACACACCTTTAAAGCTCCATTTGTGTGAGCAGTGGATGTGTGTGCCGCCACTTGTGCAAATAGAACTATGTGCAGGTGCTCACCTGCCACTTGTAGGGCACCATCCCCTCTCCCCCCCACCCTCCAGTCCACAAAACTTGGGGACTTCTGGCCTAAAGTCATAGAGTTGGACAACATTTAAACCTAATCAATAAACATTGATAAGCAATGAATGTCTTTTGATGAAAAACTCTAGGGAATCAGAAGATCTCTTATTCTGTTTACTCTGGAAACTTTAAGTAGACTTCACTTATGATAGATGTCCCAGGTCCACATACATTAGAAGCAATGCTGTCTTGCATTAGCCTGGATGTTTAATGATAACTTGCCTTTCTCTCTTATTATCAGATGCCACATCAGGGGTGGGATTCTATCGGTTCTGTCCGGTTCTATAGAACCCCTTGTTAACTTTCTAAGCAGTTCAGAGAACCAGTAGTTAGAAGCAATCTCCTTTTGTTTTTTTCCACTCGTATTACATTCTTGCCAGTACGCCTAGACTTCCTGTCTCCGGAGTTCCTGGGGCTTGACTTTCTTAAAGGGGAAGGGTTGTTTTAAGATTTTCACACTGCTGTGGGAGGAAATACTTCCCTGGACAATCAGCACTTTGAAGAAATAATTGAATAATGAATCAAAGCTTTTAGTGACAGGGAACCAAGATGAGTGACATTCAGCAAGGCTTCTTGGCTAGCTAGAAAGATTGACATTCAAACGTGAGTTTACATACCCTTTCTGAGTTTTGGTCTAAAACTGATTTTTGGTGAAGGTTAATTCTGTGCTTGGTGACATTTAATCCTGTGTTTATTGAAGGGATAATTTTCCCTATTCAGCTTCAACAAGCAACAGCTACTGTTGTGATTTAATTATTTGTATTGTGTTTGAATTTTTTTCCGGCCTCATGGTTTCTTTTTCTATCTGGGGAGGGGCTCTTCCTCACTGTTTTAGTACTATCTGGCACTGTCCTTTTGGGGTATATTTCCAAGAGGCAGGATGCAAGCTTGGCACTGATTTTTTTTACTGTCTTTCTGGGGGGCATGTGACCTTTTCTTAAATCTGGATGATTTCCTTAGGATATCTTGTGATGTGAGTGAGACCAGCTGGTATCTTTAAGTGGTTCAAATGGATCTAAGGATTACTTTTCCTGTGTGTGCTTTTTCTGGAGAGCTTAAATGACCTCTCTGCTAAAGGGTTTCACTTTATGAGCAAGATTTGGCTGCTTGATAGTTATCACTGCATTTTAACTATTTTCATTCCTCAAGGTGCTCTGGCACCCTGCCTGATTTGTAATTCCGGCTTGCAGATATTTTAATCTAATGATTGGTATTTAGGGCAGCTTTTTGCAAGCAAAGAAGCTTTTTGTATTTTTGTACAGGCAATCCTTGACTTACAACAGTTCATTTAGTGACCATTCAAAGTTACAATGGCACTGAAAAAAGTGACTTATGACCATTTTTCACACTTATGACCATTGCAGCATCCCCACTGTCATGAGAGGCCAGGTGAGGAGAAGCGCCCCTTGACATGAGTGATATTGAGTTGGCCACACCCACCCAGTTTCATGACCACCAAGCCACACCCACCAACTAAGCCATGCTCTCAGACCCAGTTGTTAAAAAAACCGAATCCCACCCCTGTGCCACATCCTCGGAATTCCTCTCTGCATGCATAAAAAATAACAGAGAGAATTACAGAACTGAATAATATGTAATTTTTAGAGCCTATTTCATAGAGGGCATACCTCTGTTGTTGTTTTTTTGCATACACATGTGCTGCTTATTCATTTTGTTCCAGATGGGGATTTGAGCAAGTGGTTCATTGTTAAGAAAGTGCTTGATCTTTTGTAACTCTACTTTTGATTGGCTGCAGTAAATCTCAGAAAATCTAACAAGATTTGGACAGCCACTACAGAAACATGGATTTGCCAAAACATCCTCAAGCATTAATTTAGCATAATTTTTCCCATGTGCCCTGCAGCTCTTGGACCTCTCAATCTGGCAAAGTATCTCCCCCATCCCCACCCTTACCACTTCCCAGGATTGTGTCTTACATTGTTGTAAGCTGGCAACTTTTGTTGCTGACAATGACATTTTGTGCAAGTTTTCAGTGTATGATTCCTTTGTGAATAACTAATACATTGCTATATTCAGGAAAATAAAGCTATCACCGCTCTAATACAGATTCTTGCACAATTCAGAATATTTTATATTACGTTAGAAATCTGATACTTCTATGCTGTAACCTTTTCAAACATTTTGTACCAGGTATGGTTGTGTTTTATTCAATTAGTTTTCATAAATAGACCGATTATCTTCTTTGTAGTCTAATTATGAAACATTGTCAGAATCTACTACCACAGTTCTTACTTAGAATTAAAGCTCAGTTGGAACATCCCTGCCAATTAGATACTAGAAATTTGCTTCACAATATTAAATCATGCAACAGCATTAAAGATTTTGCACAAGTTTCTTTTTTAATGCATAAGTTATAAGGTTGATAGTTTAAGAGCTAGGGTTATGGTAAGAGCCTAAGCTATATGTCTGGTTTCAATTTCAGAAGGAAGGACATGTTTTTATAGGAATTAAAGTTCTGTGAATGTTCTGTGTTTCCTATTTAGGAAAAATTCTTTGAAAATACTTTAAAATAATAATCACTGTCTCTCAACCCAACCCACCTCTCAGGGAAGATGTTATTGTGGGTAAAATAGGGGGCAGGAGCATTACAGTATGCACATTGGCTTGAGCTGTATAAAGATGGGTGTAAATGTATTAATACCAATAAACTGTTATTCTTTACTTGGAACAGAATACTGCTGAAAGAAAATATCATCTCCTAATCATACCTGTAAATCAGTCATTTCCAATTTAGTATATTCCAGATGATAAGTTGTAGAACGCTTTAATGGAATTTTCATTGTATTGCTTTTATCTCAAAATAGCTTTTTGTGTAAAAATACATTTTTGGTATCCTTTGTATACAGTTGGAGAGAAAAAAAATCAATTTATTAATATAAAGGCAACCAAGATTTACTGCAAAAATCATACACTCCAATTTTGGATTCAGGTTGCCATGCCTATTTCTGTTTAAATGGTGCCCTCTAAACTGATTGAATCTTCCATAACTAAAGCCATCTTGAGTGTGAATTTAAATAATTATGCCTTTCTGTTAAAAGTTTTTCTCTTTCTTTTCTATTGAAAAAACAAAAAGTGGCTTTGTAGTTCACATATGCATCAGCTTAATCCATGCTTGAATAAAATGGCATTGCAAATGTTTAAAATCATAACTATGTAGGTTTTTATTTAGTGATAGTTGTCTGAGTAAACATTTCATGTCTAACATTATTTCATGAAGGAAGTTTACCACATATTTATGTTAAATATTGAATATCTTTCTGTATAAATAATTAAAATAAATTGAAGGAATGATAACTGAATGGTTATAATTGAATTTTAAGCATTATTTAATTTTCTAGGTAATTATTTATACATATGATTATGTATTATTTCCATGCATAATTTTCTTTATGAATCTTTTTTTCAAGAGAGCACAATCTGATGAACTGGAAAAGATAGAAAAGCATGGCAAATCAAGTAAAGAGAAGGAGAATGCCAAATCTTTGGACAAACCTGAACAGTAAGGATATTATAAACCATCTACACTGGTTGGAGAGAGTCAAACTATTAACGTTTTAGTTCAAGTTCAGATACAACACAAATTGTTCTAACTGAAACAAATAATTAACCTGTTCAATACATGCAATAACTATGAGGTTCAGTTCCACTTTGTTTGAGAAAACTGGATTACAGTGTCCTCAGGCTATGCACAATAGTGGTGTCTTCCTGTTTTCCCAATTCTTCTTTCAGTAGGTGAATTTACAAGTCCTTTGGTTTGTTTGCTCCTCCCAAGAAAAAAGTATTTGCTCGTTCTTTATGAGAATAGGTTTAATTTGATCCTTATCCCCCTGCTTAGCTATTTTTTCCCATAACTTTGATACTTCCTTTTCTCTTGCACATTCTTTGAATTTACATCTTAATCCCTACTTCAAATGTATTCAATTTAGCTTTATATGTGTGTACATGTGTGTATAGTAACTTCACTTACAGACATAGTATTCGATAGACACCAAAATATATTTGATGTCAGTTTTCTTATAATGTTACTTCATCTCCTGAGCTCCCTGTCTCTTGAGAGACAGGTGAGATCTTGCAAGATTTCAGCTATCTCACATTATAATTTCAACTATTTTTTAGCATATATATAATTGAATTATAATGTGAGATAGCTGAAATCTTGCAAGATCTCACCTGTCTCTCAAGATTTTTGTTATGGAAAGTCCCAAGACTTTTAATCTATATTTTCAGGCAAAGATGTATGTATATGTGTGCATATATATGTGTACTTCTGAATGAAGCAGTCCTCTATAAAGAGAGAGAAGTAAGATTTTGCAGAAATCTCTGATGGCTGTACCCATCCTCTTCAGGAAGAAATATATAAACCTGTAGAGACCCCAAGTCTATATTTCCATCTAAAACCTTTATCCTTTTTTATCTATTTTTTTTCCTGCTACTGCTGAGTGACTCACATTCAATATCTGAACCAAAACTCTGAGCCCCATTAACAGGATAGCACTATTAGTCACTTCTTTGAGGGCCTAAATCCTTTCAAGGGACACATATTTTAATAAATCTTTTCTTTCCCTGCAGTCTTTTTCCTCAAGGAAAGTGCCAGGACATTTCTCTGTTGGGATATCAGTGTCCTTATGAGAAATTAAAAGGACAGTTAGTCACTATTTGCAAAACTGTTTTTTCCCCATTGCTTAGCACTGGCTAAAGTGAGTCGGTAAGTGGTGAAGAGGTATCTATATCTACTGAAAGTTTCATCTCAGGTGGAAGACTTCTAGGTAGCTCCAGAGGTTTCACTGCCAGTTTCAGAGAAGAAATGGATTTCATTGTTCTTTAGTCTCGCTGGGTCCAGAACCATTAAATATCCTTTAACTGCTTCCAGTCCTTTTCTACCCTTCCCCCTATGTTTGGGTTCCACAATCATAGAGATAATCTATTCCCATTCAGAACAAATTTTCATTATTCATTGGTTTCATTGGGAATGGTTTTAGACTATAATTCAGAACCGTTTTTTGTCCCTCAAGTTCTTTTAATAGATCTCAGTCATATTTTTCCTTAATGCCTCCAGGTTTCTTTATGAGCTCTCCCTGATTCCCAACTTCTCTGAACGAGCTTTTTGTATCCTGTTTCAATCAACATTCTCTGAAAGCATTTCCTCTCTCCGAAGCAAACTTGAATTGTTGCAGAAACTGTGTGAGGTAGGTTCTGGACCATCTGATGCAAGACCTAGATTGGCTGATATTTAATCTTCCTTATTCAACAATACTCATATTTCAAAAGTTTTATTTATTTTACATGCTCATTAAATGTGAAGGATAGCAGTCCTGCTGAATGGAACATTTTATGATTGTGCTTCAAGATCAAAGTAAATCTTAAGATTTGGCTTTCAGTGCTGAAGTATAATAACACCACAAGTCTATAGCCAATGCACATCAACCTCTAGAGAATAATATACCTTTTTCCTGTGCCAAAGCAAAATCTTCTCTCTTTGTAACAGGCACTGGCTTTCCTTCAGCATTTCCAAATAAACATACATTGACTTTTTCTTTTAGAAGTTCTTTGTTTCTGTAATAATATATAATAATCAGCCAATTGTAATTTTGGCAGCACTGGCGAGAGCAGCAATCTCCCACACTTAGCTTTATAACAATGAACAAATATTAGTTAAGATTACATAGGCTATATAATCTTGAAGATATTGCTATAAATTCAAGATTCTTCTTCAGTCTCAACAAATCATACTTGCTATTTACAATGCTGCAAAGATGATTTTGAAACTATTGTGGGAGGAGGTTATATAACACTCCTTTTTTTTTTCCAATATCCTCAACTCCACGTGAGGCTTTCATAGCTGTAATTCTCCATGTGAGAAAGTCTACAGGGAATTGATGGATTGCTTAAAAATGTTCAGTTAAAGACATGTTCCTCAGGGACTTAATAATTCCTCAGTCACTAAACTCTGTTGCCATTTTTCAAAGCTTGGGTCATGCTTGTTGGCAGCCAGTTTCACTGCCACTGCTGTTATGCTGGAATCGCTTTCCTCCTATTTAAGGCTTCCTGCATTGCAACCAACCTGAGGTCAATCCATTGATGAACGTTTTGCTGCCATTCCATATAATCCATGGAATTAACCTGGAAGCAGTGTCACTAAGGGAATAGAAAGTCCTTGCATTGTATTCCATCTAAAATTGTCATGGGAATTCATCTATATGCCCCTCCCCGGAACGGGAATGGGAATAATATAGAGTGCAGTAGTGTATCCACTTTGCTAGGCAATTAAATCAGAGTTTCCCATTTATATCCAGTGTGTGGTTTGCCTATTTGTTTATTTGTATCCCACTTTTTCTTGAAGGAGAACAAGAAGGCACACATGAGGCTATCCAACTTTTTATCATCATACTATTATCAATATAGCCATTTGTTCTTTAACAAAAGGGGGATACTTTTTGCTCACCAGTGTGGGAACAGACTTTTCATAGCTGTCAAGAATTCCTATGCCTTAAGGAAAGGATAAATCTGTGTCCCCTTTATTACAAAGCTCTGATTTTTCACAGTTGCCAAATCACGAATATACTTTATAAAGTTTAATTTACATAGTTTAATTTTGCCAGATGCCTACTTCCATTCAGAAATGTTTGCACTTATTATAGGGCTCAGCCTGTATGGTTTTTTCAAGTATTTTAGTGCCAGGAGAGTTAATTCATTCTCCTACAATTGCTGCTTGTCTCTGTTCCACTGCCTGCGTAGTAGCTTTAGGAGGTTGGTGTGATGGTGTATGGGAAAGGCCTTGGGAGACTGGGCCAAAAGAGCCTGCCAAGAGAACAGTTGGATAAGAGACAACATGACCTACAACTGTATCGTGGGATGGGCAACCATCTCAGAAGGCTTCCTTCCTCCCCTAGTTTCTTGGGGAAAAGATTGCAAGATAGATGTCAGTCTCACGGAGTAAACCAAATGAAAATCACAACCGGATGAGCTAATTATACTTTATTGTAAAGCTAAATTGGGAGAACCTTGCAAGTCTGAAAGTACATCTCTCTTCCCTCCCCTCATCTCCTTTATAACCCAAGAAACTAGGGAAGGTTTCTTCTGAGTCTCTTGCCCCATCCACTGTCCAGTTGTGGGCTGTGCTCTCTTATCAGACTGTTCCCCAGGCAGCATCTCTTGGCTCTGTCTCCAAAGGTCTTTTCCAATGGTATTACATTTATTTAATCCAGCACTTCCTGCATCTCTTATATGATGGATTCATGTCAAGAATTGTCTAGATCATTTCTACAGAAGTGATTATACCATTGGTTCTGGGCCCAGACCTATCATGATAAAATTGTTCAATAATAAGGAAAAAGGTTTAACTTAAAGAAATTTGAACAAGCTTTGGCAAAAAATGACAAGTACCTGAACTTGAATATCTTTAACTCTAAACTATAGTTCACTATTTTGTTTCTATTCTCTTAAGCAATGTTAGAAAATCTTTCTCTTACTAATACTCCTGAAAAACAACTCTTTTCCACCCTGTCCAATAGTAGACAACTTGAACAACATTTGAAAAGTCTTAAGCCCCCCAGCCCTGTACTAATCTTACAATAAAAAATACTTTTAAGTTTGAGGCTCACAGAATGAATATTTCTGCATCTGGAAATAGCACTTGGGTATCGGCTTCAAGTTAGGGATGTGGTGGCTCAGTGGCTAAGATGCTGAGCTTGTCAATCAGAAAGGTCAGCAGTTCAGTAGTTCAAATCCTTAGCATCACGTAACAGAGTAAGCTCTTGTTACTTATCCCAGCTTCTGCCAATCTACCAGTTCAAAAGCATGTAAAAATGCAAGTAGAAAAATAGGGACCACTTTGGTGGGAAGGTAACAGCGTTTGGTGCATCTTTGGTGTTTTGTGATGCCAGCCACATGACCACAGAGATGTCTTCGGACAGCGCTGGCTCTTCAGCTTTGTAACAGAGATGAGCACCGCCCCCTAGAGCCAGAAACCACTACCACATATGTGCGAGGGGAATCTTTACCTTTACTATTGGCTTCAAATGTTCAATAACTCCTTTTCTCAAGATATAAATGTCCTTGATTTTTTAATTAGTGATACACCTATGTAATAGTAAGGAATTAGAAATGTAATTATTACTAAAGTTTCAGATTTTTTATTATTTTGGGATCATCCTGATGTGATTATGAACTACTTAAAATTAAATCATTTTGACAATAGCTATGTGTTGGTACATTTTTTATTAAATAAAATGAAATGCTTCTAATGTGTTCTGCAGTAACTTCTCTGCATCTTGTCTCCCCAGATGTTGAAAAGTGGCTCAGGAGTTATGCGGGTTCTAGGCTTGGTCCTGGCTTTTGGGAATTACATGAATGGTGGAAATAGAACAAGAGGACAAGCCGATGGCTTTGGACTAGACATACTTCCCAAACTCAAAGATGTCAAGAGTAGTGTAAGTTTTACCTCCCATGCCTTAATTATTATGGCATTTAATATGCTGTATTGCTTTATTAAACATGAAAGGCCCATGATTACAGTGCTTGTAGTGCTTGTGGTGGCGCAATGGTTAGTACTGCAGGCTGACTCACTGCTCAGTCCAGGAGTTTGAACCTGAGAAGGAAGGAAGAAGAAAGGAAGGAAGGAAGGGAGGGAGGGAGGGAGGGAGGAAGAAATCTCCACATGTAGAGATAATACATGTTATTATGTTATTTAGTCTTATACCCTATTTCTCCAACAATACGGCCTCCCCCAATAGGAAGTCCCAGCAGGTTTTATAGGCATGAAATGAAATTAAGCCCCTCCGCCCAAATTAAGGCCTATATTAAAACATGCAAAATGCGGGGGAAATGTCGGGGGGGCTTGCCGTTAGGAAGTACTTTTGTTGCACACCCGGATATGGTGCTGCCTGTGTTGACCCCGATACAAAGTGCCCCACCAATGCCGAGGTCAACATCCAAGCTGTCGCCGCCCGCCCGCCTGAAGATGCGGGGGGGGGAATTAAGTCACCCCCGAAAAGATGACCTAGCCATTTTTGGGGGGCTCAAAAAAAAAAAGACCCGGCCTTATTATATGAGAAACATGGTAGTAACTCTTGGATACTAGTGGTGTGTAACAAATTGATGTTGCACAATTTTCATTTTTAATGTCCACAAAATTGGAATTACAGTTTTTTGTAGTTTGTAATTCAAAGCCTAACAAAATGTTTTAAAAAAATGCAAGTAGTCCTCAACTTATAATATTTTGTTTAGTGACCGTTCAAAGTTACAGTGGCACTGAAAAAAGGTGACGTGAGACACTTACGACCATTATAGCATCCCTATGGCCATGTGATTTACAGTTGGATGCTTGCCAACTGGTTCATATTTATGACTGTCGCAGGTCCATGGGTCATGTGGTCAACATTTTGTGACCTTCTGACAAGCAAATTCATTGGGGAATTCAGATTCACTTAGCAACCATGTTACTAACGTAATAAATGCAGTGATTTTTAAAATCATAAAATTGGGCAAAACTCACTTAACAAATTTCTCACTTAGAAACAAACATTTTGGCTCAATTGTGGTGTTAAGTTGAGGACCACCTGTATGTGAATTAGGAAAAAAATATATGAAAAGGGATGTACCAGGAGGTATAACAATGATCAGTTAGCTTTATACTATTTTTTCTTCCAAATTTGTAGATTCATAGTGAAATGGATTAAAATAAACTTGTGTTCATGGAAGAAACCCGAACCTGACAAATTAATCTATCACAAAATCCTGTTTATTGCTAACATATTCTATTAATATTGAAAAAAAAACATATTCAGTGGTTTTAAAACTTTATAAGTGTTCCATTTAACAATAAATTTATAAAATGTCTAAGTAATCTTCCCACTGCTGGCGTATATTTTCCTTTTTTATATATTTCAGTAACATAAAAAAAATTACAAACTGGATAAAGATCATTTGTAAGGCTTTCATTTCAACATTTCTTAGAATTCTTGCCTTTACTATAAAATGATCATATTGTCTTAAAGGTGATATTAAAAATATATATTATCTGTTGCATACATGCATGGAAGCCTTTTGATTTTGTTTTCACTTCCACTTTTGGGGTTCATTTGCTTTCTTGCATAACACAGGTAGTCCTCACTTAATGATGATAACTGGGACTGGCAATTCCATCGCTAAGATATCTCATAAAGTGTGACATTGTATGACTGCACCAACTTACAACAGCAGTTCCAGCAAGTCCAATTGCAGTTGTTAAATGAATTCCACATTATAGTTACAAACATTGTCACATGATTACCATTTGAGAAGTCCTGATAATTTCATCATTGGCTTTGCTGGTTGGAAGTTGGCAGTGAATATCACAACATGTGATGGCAATAGCAATGGCACTTAGACTTATATACCACTCCATAGTGTTTTACAGCACTCTCTGAGTGGTTTACAATGCCAGCATATTGCCCCCAACAATCTGGGGCCTCATTTTACTAACCTCAGAAGGATAGAAAACTGAGTTTTCTACAACCCATCAGGATCAAACTCCAGACTGTGGGCAGAATTAGCCTGAAATACTGCATTCTAACCACTGCAACCACCAGCGCTCCTCATGTGATGGCGAGATGCTGCTACAATCATAATTGCAACTTGGTTACCAAGTGCTCAAATCACAATCGCACAGCAGCAGCAGCTACTATGACTAGTCATGAGTCTCCCCATTCAGCACCATCATAATTTTGAATGGCTGCTGAACAAGTGGTGTTATCTGAGGATTACCTGTGCTCCAAATGTATACAAATAGAAATTATTCAATCTAAATGTCTCTATACTTCATATATAAACGCTATTTAATTTTGACCTTATACAGGATAACAGCAGGAGTCTTCTGTCATATATTGTCTCATATTATTTGCGCAATTTTGATGAAGTAAGTATGAACTTCCAGTTTAACCTTTTTTTTCTTTTGAGATAGTTTTTGTTTCTGTCATTTAATATAAAAACTTTTGGTGAGATCTAGTAGGGTAGTTTCTTGAGGGAACTAAGAATAAGGTGACAAATCCTTTCATATGTGCTCAAAATCTGCTTTTTCCACCTCAACTATCATTTCTCAACCTCTAAGGAAGGTGTTTAAGGGCACAGGAACTGTGCAGTGTGAAGGCAAGTTTAAAAAATGTTGCATGTTCAAGAGCTTTCTTTCACAATATTGAATGTCATCTTTTTATCTTCTGGTTCCTTAAGCATGCAATGAAGGCAGTTGATAAATTTGGTTGTTGTTTGCTGATGGCTTAGATACTTTCAAAAGTGAAAGATGTTGCTAACACACTACTCAATAGTATCACTGGCTAAAATTTGTCAAAACAAAGCAGAACTGACTGGATTTGTGTATGTATGTATCCTGTCTTTATTTTTATCAATAACTCAGGGTGGCAAACATATCTAATATTCAGTGGTGGGAATCAAAAAAATTTTACTACCGGTTCTGTGGATGTGGCTTGGTGGGCGTGGCAGGGGAAGGATACTGCAAAATCCCCATTCCCACCCCACTCAGGGGAAGGACACTGTAAAATCTCCATTCCCACTCCACTCCATGGGAAGGATACTGCAAAATCTTTATTCCCACTCCACTCCTGGGGGAAAGTTACTGCAAAATCCCATTCCCTCCCCACCCCACTAACCTGCTTTCCTGCTTCATTCTGTGTGAGGCAACAAAAGAAGACCCAGCCGATCAGCTGGGACTTGGGAGGCAGAGAATTGATGGGGGCAGGGCCAGTCAGAACTACTCAATTTTTTCTGCTACCGGTTCTCCAGAACAGGTCAGAACCTGCTGAATATCACCTCTGCTAATACTCCTTCCTCCTCCTATTTTCCCCATAGCAACAATCTTGGGAGGTGAGTAGGGCTGAAAGAGAGTGACTGGCCCAAAGTCACCAGGCCTAGGGCAGGAGTAAAACTCACAGTCTCCTGGTTTCTAGCCTGATACTTTAACTGCTATATCAAACCAGCTCTTAAGTTTGTCACTGAATTGTTTTTTTTTCTGACATTTAAATGCCACCCAATCAAGAACATTCCCTTTACAGATTATATTATCACTAATACAGAAATTTAGCTGAGCCAAAGCAAAGTAATGTGAAGGCAGCAGATTCCCCACCCCTGCCTTAAGTGATACTTGCTCTTGAATCACTTTGATAATATATTTAATGAAAGGGAGAAAAATATATAGTTCTTGTCTCAATGTTATCTATTCAACCTTGTTTTACTAGGATGCCGGCAAAGAACAATGCATCTTCCCTCTTCCAGAACCACAGGATCTTTTTCAAGTTTCTCAGCTAAAATTTGAAGAGTTCAATAAGGATCTTCGCAAACTGAGAAAAGACTTGAGAGGTAAAAGCTTTGACTTCTAGGCAGACATGGGAACATGCTGGCAGATACATTGGAACATGCTGGTAAACACCTCTAATCAAGTGTACAAGAAATGGCAACAAGAAAGCCACCATGACAGTCAAATTCTCAACTACAGAAATGTGTCAGACCTTAGGCTGCATTTTGAACTATATTTAAAGATTTAGATGGACTTGTTTTAAGAAAGGAAATGGCAAAAAGTTCAATTGCAAATCTGAAATTATCCATTTTATTTTAAATAAGATATATATATATATCTATAGTATTCAGCTTTGTTTGGGTATTTTCCCACGTCATTATAGTTGTGCTTTTAAAGTTGTGGCAACGTTTCGGCAGAATCTCATCTGCCATCATCGGGCTTCTGTATAGTGTTTGTCTGAAGCCTGATGGTGGCAGATGAGATTCTGCCAAAACGTTGCCACAACTTTAAAAGCACAACTATAATGACTTGGGAAAATATCCGAACAAAGCTGAATACCATACATACATACATACATACATGAAATCAAATTACATCTAGGAATTGCTGAAGATTGTTTTTAAATTATCGGTATATTTCTAAAAACAAACCTCAGAGACTTCTTCAGCTACATCCCATGCAGAATTACCCAGAAATTAGTTTTATGAAACTCAGAAGGATTTCTATCAGAGGTGGTATTCAGCAGGTCTGATCAGTTCTGGAGAACCGGTAGCGGGAATTTTGAGTAGTTTGGAGAACCGGCAAATACCACCTCTGACTGAAGATTTTACAGTATCCTTCCCCTGCCACGCCCACCAAGCCATGCCCACAGAACCGATAGTAAAAAAATTTGAATCCCACCACTGATTTCTATCCATACAGACACTTATATAATTCTGTTGCCAAGTTGAAAAAAAAAAATCCTCCATAATCCTGATCCACCAAGGTTGCTGCATGTTTCTGCAACCTATGTGGAAATCCTAGGAGATTGGGCAAAGAATAGAAAGATTTGAAAGTGCTCAGTTCAAATCTCTTCCACAAGTATTAGTTTCTCTAAAGCAATTTACTATTGTTCTGTCTAGCACAGATCAAGGGGAAAAAAATCCCTACTATGTTTTTTTTTTCCTTTTTATCTTAATTGTGTGGCAAATGCAGTGTCCAAATCAGGAAGCTAGGCAGCCAGGCCTGTTTGGGTCAAGAAACTTTAAACTTCCTTTCAAGAGGGGAACGTGATAGCCTCAGGCTTTTTGTGCTAAAATGTAGCCAAAGGGTATGTGAAAATGTTCTTTATTTTAGAAATATCTCTTCAGTGGTACGCATTCTGTTTGATTCCCAATGCATCAGTTAAATCCCATGAGAAGTTTTAGGAGGAATTCATCCCATCTTTTCAAAGCAGTTATCAGGGTGGGAGGTCACCTTGGAGAAATTGTAGGAGAAACCATCCATCCAGTTGCTCTGCCCACAAACATAGTGAAGCATTTTGTGTCCTGCTCTAGTTCTGTTTCTAAGCCTCAACCTTCTCCCCACTATGCTAATGCTAATATGGAATAGTAATATTGGCAGGTCTTAAGGGCCTATTGTAAGGATTATAGATATGTAATACTATATAAGAGAGAAAGAGAGAGAACGAATGAGAGAGACCGAGAGAAAGAATGAGGGGGGGGTAGACATGTCTCCTGCCAAGAAAACTGATATAAAATATACTAACTTTTTCCAGCTGTCAAAATTAATATCTTTGGCTCTAGACACTTTCCCTAAACTTTGATTTCCATTATATAGGCAGGCCCTCATTTTCTGGGTCCCCAAGGATTGAAACCAAGACTGGTGATTCACAAAGAGAACTCCAAAAGGAACTGTTCATACTGGATAAACAGGCTTTAAAAATAGCAGAAGCACCATAATACAGCAAAAGCAAATACATAGTGGAGCAAAATATCAACACTTTTGTTAGTGTGTGTGATATTGATTAATTGATTAATACAGTAGATACTAGTAAATAGTAACCATAGTAAATATAGAGGCTAAAAACAGCTTTTGCTTTGGGAATTGGATTAAAATAATGAAAGCATTGGACTGAGCAGAAAATAGGTTTTTGGAATGCAAATGAACGGATGTATGAAAATTGAAACACAGCATAAAGTTGCGATAAAAAATGTAAATATCTCCAAGATGGCTGGAGAATTGTGGGAGTTGAAGTCCCCATATATTCAAGACTGAGAAATAATTGTCATTGCCTCCTTTCTGGGACTGAGAAAAAGTGACACATCCAAGGTCACTCACCTGGCTTTGTGCCTAAAGTGGGTCTAGAACTCACAGTCTCCTGGTTTCTAGCTTGATACCTTAACCACTACATCAAATTGGCTCTCAAACAAACCAGTACTATTTTTGTAATTACAATATTTATTTTAGGGTACATAATCAGGCAGATACCTTTAGTATACATAGGGCTAAAAAGGAGAATTAAACTGATTTTTTTAAAAAAGGAAGAATATGAGTTTATTTTATTTTATTTATTTTTGTAGCTAAGTAACAATTTCTATAATATTTCTTCTTCAGATGCCACTTGTTTCTTTTCCCTTTGTTTTAAAGCTTTATGTGGCTGGGTATTAATCTGTTATATACCAGACAGACATTCTAATAAACAAAGGGTCTGAGACAGCTCAGGATTTTATTAATATATCTACCAGTTTGGCTCCATTAATTGCCCTTCAATTTCACAGCTCTCCTCAGGATCCTCAGCTGTGCCTTTCTCAGTTCCTTGACTCAGAGTTTATTAAGCAAGCTGATCTGCTTTTGATCTCTCTTGACTGTCATCAGAGTTTCTTGATCTAGTTGTGTCTTTTGGTAATGACCAAAAGCTATGACTTTTGGTAATTCACTCATTCCGCACTCAAAATGTTAGTGCTTGCTACAAGACCTAAATTACCTCACTGTCTTAAAGCTCATCGAATGGCTGGGTCCATTGAAACAACGCAGGCTATTTTACATGTAATATTGATATCGATTTCTGAAAAGCTTCATCCCTCCCACCAGAATCGCATACATTTTAGAACTAACTGAAAATAGGACTTTAAAGTGCACATTTTCAAGATGCTTCAGTTTTAGTTAGAAAAAAAAGTTTTGCAAATATGCACATCTACCCAGAAGTAAATCTCTTTTAAGTTGAGATAAACTTATTCCCAACTTATGTCAAGACACAGTGTTAGACTAACCTCTTTCAAAATTTGCTGCAGCGTAATCCTAGTTTGGGAAATTTAATTTGGGGTACTCTGAAAATCTCACTTTACTTGATCATAATATTTTTATTAGATATTTTAAAAAATAGCTTGGAAATAAGATTGATGGCCATCAGATATTACTACTACTACTACTACTACTACTACTACTACTATTATTATTATTATTATTATTATTATTATTATTATTATTATTATTGCTGTTGTTGTTATTAATATTGATATTAATATTATTACTATTTATTTGCCACCCACTTTGCAGTTCAAAGTGACTATGAGTGACTTATATGTTGGTTCTTAGGATCTTAAGTAAGACATACATACATACAGAGAAGCTATTCCAAAGGGTGAAACCTTGGACACCTACAGGAATTACCTCTTATCTATATCTATTATATAGTATATGAAGGGAACAGGAAAGGCCTCTAAAGAAGAAAATGTACACAGGGGAACTCTTGGTATCTACATTAAGAAGTACTTTATGTACTTCTATTAATTAACCTAAAAAGCAAACATTTTTCTGCTTTTTTTTAAAAAAAGCAAATAAATAAAAGGCAGTTTGATGTAGCAATTAAGGTAATGAGCTAACAGGGAAGCCATAAGTTTTAGTCCTGCCTTAGGCACAAAGCCAGTTGGGTAACCTCAGGACAGTCACTCCCTTAGATCTAGGAAACAGGCAATGGATAATCATTTACTAAATCTTGCCAAGAAAAATTGCAGTATTACTACTGGCAGTTACCAGGAGTCAACACTGAATCGAAAGGGATATCCCTCCTACCCCCCGCCACCCTCAGTAAAAACACCAGTATCAATAAAGAAGGACTTACTAGTTAGAACTTAATGTATGTTGTGGAAAAGTGTGCGTTGCACTATTTAAATCGTAGCAGACAGTGGTGGAAACTTTAGCTCAGGCGTCTGTAGCATGCCACCCTTGATGCTAAACACCTGCTAAATCTTCTGTAAACAACTCAGGTATAAAATGATTTTTTTAAAAAACTTGTAATCTTATAATATTGCTAGGAAGAGGTATTCTCTTGAGGCATGGTGTTACGATATCCATTGCTGGGGAAAGCCACTCCCTGCTCTAAATTATAAGAACTAAGTGAAACAAACCGGCTCAGTTGAGCCACAATTCAGTAAGTGAAATTCCAGCTGTATCAAAATCCAGATTTGAATCTAAGAGATTTTACTTTCAGACATCTACGTGATTATACATAACTTTAAAAATACAAGATCAGTAAATATGAACTCAAAAAAAAAGTGGAAAAAGTCATAATCTTATTCAATGATAACTTATAATTATAGAACAATATTGAGAACATGCCATATTATTATTTGAATTACTCCGATTTACTTCACAATGTACTATATGATTCACAGTCAACATTAGGAAAGAAGTATACCATTGAAATATGTAGGTTGTAAGTAGGTTAAAATATAATTCCCTATAGAAAATTCCATCATTTTGCTTGAAGCTTTATTTTTAATTTTCTGCCACCTAAGGTTTTCATTTTTCTTGTGATGCTTTCTACAGTTATGCTATAAATATGTCTAACTTATATTTTGCTCTGAATGGGTGATTAATCGGTGTGATTAATGTATGCATATGTACTTGTGTAAGTTTTAAGGCACTGTTTCTCTACTTCAACAACTTTAAGATGTATGGAAAATAAAGTCAGCACATCTTAAATTGCCAAGTTGGGAAACATAGTTTAATGGGAAAATTATACATCTGAGAAGTGCCATGTCAGATGATCTATCAGCTATATAGGAATACAAAACAAACTTTCTGTCTAACCAAGGTCAGTAACCCCAATAGAGGGCAGTGCAGAATCACTCTTAGGAACCTCCAGGCCATGCTAACCCTAAACCACTTAGATAGACCTCCATTGCAGAGTGACATATAAAAACACTCCAAAACTATTCTCCTGTAGAATGAGGAACAGCAGCATACAAGAGCTGCATCTCTGGATGGGATTCAGTTTAAGGTAATAAGGCTATTCAAGTTCTCAGTGGTTTGCATGACTGCTGCTGACCCTTCTCAGAGCAGGCTCTTGTGGCCAGCTCATCATCCTTGCCGCATCCACAGACAGCAGTAGTCTTTGCAAATATGGCTGAAAGGGTTAATTGACTGAAACACTGCTGCATCCAGACTTCTAAACTGAAACCATATGTGAATGAAAGGCAAGACTTCGTCCAGTCTCTGAGTCATGTCTTACAATCCTTAAAGCTTCAAACAAGGCTCTTCTTGGAGAAGCTTATGAAGCCCCAACAGTCATTGGGCTGAATCAGAACAATCCCTTCCCAGAACAAATAACTAAAAGGAGAAGGTGTATGCCCACAGTCAAATGTGATTTCCCCTTTGGATGTGACATTCCAAAATATCTTTAAAGTTCCCAACTTTTACCACTTCTGTATGGGTGTGAGGCAGTCAAATCAGATGAGTATCTTGCAGTGAATATTTTTAAATGCATATATCTATTATATATTAATAAAAAATTGTTTGGAAGAATGTTTAGAGCAGGAAATAAGATACATTCATGACACACATATCTTTCCATTTTTAAATTGCAGGGGCAATTCATGTATTGAATTTGTAAAATTTGACTGTATTTTTAATACATTTTCCAGAGGCGTAGCAACTGAGATTTAGTGTTATAATATCCTCTCCTCCAATTTCAGGTTAAAATAGAATAGAATAAAAACTTTAGTGTCACTTTAAATGTACCCTACTCAGCATACATTAAAATGAAATTTTGTTGCATTCCGCTCTCAAAAAATAACCATTATGTATATACTCACATACCCACACATATATGAGGACACAGAGAAACATCACAGTCTAGTTGGAATGTATACATATATATGGCCAAAAAAAAAAGAAAAGAATCCTGCGAGTTTACAAGACAGGTGGCATTAAGGAACAAAGCTATTACAGAATCTAGTAGTCTGTATAGATATTTCAAATCCTTCTCCTGAGGGGAGCAACAGAAACTAACTGTGAAGTGGGTGGGTGTGGGACTCTAATAATACTTCAAGTTCTAGGCACATAGCGCTTATAAGCAGTATCCTGTATAATGGGAAATCAGCTTCCTGTAATCTTCTCAGCTATTCTTACCCCTCTCTGTATGGACCTTCTATTTGAGGCACTGCTACCATCAAACCAAACAGTGATGCAGTTAGTTAAAATGCTCTCAACTGTGCCTGTGTAAAAAGTGGTCAGGACAGGAGAAAGATGTGCTCTCCTCATCCAACGCAGGAAATGCAAACATGGTTTGCACACTTCACTAAAGAGAACAGATGAAGAGACCAAGTCAGATTGTTAGTTAGCTGCACCCCCAGATACTTAATACTGTTGACCACCTCCACAGCTGCAACCTTGATTCAAATTGGAGTATGACTATACCAGTTCTTTCCAAAATCAACAATGATCTCCTTTGTTTTGCTAACATTCAAAACCAGGTTAGTTTTATTGCACCAGTCCACCAGAATCTTCACTGTCATCCAGGTTAAGCCCCACCCCTGCCATGTCATCCCAATATGATTTGTAGCAGGCTTGGCACAGCACTCATGGGTCATCAAGGTGAACAGTAACAGGCTTGAGACACAGCCCTGTGGGGAAGGAAATGGAATTGGAAACTTTTCTTCCAATTCTCACAAACTGGGGCCTATCAATAAGGAAATCAAGTATCCAGTTACATAAAGAAGTATTAAAACCTAATAGGCCCAGTTTGTTCACCAAATACTAGAGAATGACTGTGCTGAACGCCAAACCAAAATCAACAAACAGCATTTTGCACATTAGTATTCTCCTCCTCCAGGTGCACCAAACTAAGATGAAGCAGACAAGGAAGTACATCACTATACACTATACACTAAAGAAGTTTGGCTGAACTTTCATAACATTTCCACTCTTTAATATTAATACCATCTACATTCTAATTGATTTGCTGTTGTTGTTTGCTCTCTTTGTTTTTGCTATGGTTTGACAAATTAATTCAATGCATATTGGATTCTTCACATATACCCAGAAGCTTGGGAACGAGCTGCTGTATTTGGAGAAAGAGACTTATCCTTTTGTGGATATCTCATGCTATTTTGTCAATAGCATATTGTTACCAGAAGCAGCAGCAAATTTGGAATCCAGACATATGTGTCTGTGAGTTGTCACATCCTTGTGATGCCATAAATTTAAATTGAATCCACTTATTTTGTCTTCAGTTGGGCAAAAGAAATGACAAGTGATTGATATAATACAAAGTACTGATTCTAATTAATTGTTGTTGATAATAACATCAATATTTCCTCCTATACCTTGGTAGCCAAAATGTGTCAGCGTTCTCTCTCTCTCTCTCTCTCTCTCTCTCTCTCTCTCTCTCTCTCTCTCTCTCACACACACACACACACACACACACACACACACACACACACAGAGGTGATATTGAATCTGTTGTGTGCATATTCTAGATGAGGATCATTGTTTGCCTTGTCCAAGGCTTTGAGCATTGTAAAGAGAATAAAATCACTCCATTTTCAATTGCCAATGGTTCATTTTTTACTCTAAACATGTACATTTTGTTTTCTACTTTCTGCTCTTGAAGTCAGAAACCAGACTGGTTTTCCCTGAAGAGACAACAGAAGTCAGTGAAACCACATAAGCGATCAAAACAAGCTTATATTGCACCGCAGCTCCCACACTTACTGTGTAATTGGCCCAACATCACATTTGTTTAGACACAGAGCCTTATAAACACTAAACTTGGTAACCATGAATGGTCTCATTGAGGTCAATAGAATTTACATGGTAGGGTTGTTAAACATGTTTACAAGCATGTGTGATCTGAGCCCTGGTAAATTGTTGTAACTGAGTAAAGGATTCTACAGAATTTTAAAATAGTTTTGGCTATCTGATTTACTCTTGTGGATAAGTTTTAAAACCTTATCCCTGTAAGGCAGATCCATTATTGTTTTTTTAATCTCTTCAAGCAGCAAATGTTAGTTAATTTAAAAATCAAAACAGGCTCACCTATTAAACAAGTCTTACTACTGTCATTAAGACTTTTGGCAGTTTTGATTTAAATGAATATTCATTTCCCAATGCAATTTTAATGCACCTTTTCTAGGACTGATTCAAAATCTATTTTATTTTCAAAGCCATGTCATTGATTTTATATTTATGTAAAAGCAATGTTAAGGAATTAAACAAATAAATAGCTGTAGTACATTTTGACTTAATCTTCTTTAATTTTTATTGGAAGTATTTCTTATAGAACGTCTAGTTATTTCTGGAAGGTGCCAAGATGAGAAAAGCTACCTTAATTCCTTTTGTTGTTTTTTAAATTTTTAAAAATTGGGTTTTACCACAAAATGTCATTTTTCCTAATTCCAGTTATTATAAATTTGAAACTTTAATTGCCATTCTGCCAAATTTTAGGACCATAGGCAAAATAAAACCCACACCTGTGTACCCTTAATAGTTAAGATCACTTCTCTTTTCTGTGTTTAACATTTGAAGTTTACAATGAAGCATAACCATTAAATTCTCTGAGCTCGATAACCTAATCTGATAAATACATTGTTCAGTTCAATATCTTGGCATGAGCATAAGCAGATGTTTTTTCAGATATAATTTGAAATAAATGGTTACGGTTACGCACAACTTTGCAGACCATTCAACATTTTAAAGGTCTATCATAATTTTATTCTGCTTTTCTCTTAAATTGTGAATGTCAGTTCCTGTTCGCAAGAGAATTTTATGGATTTATCATGGTAAGAATATAGGGTGTTTAAGGTGTTGGATCTATACTGAGAAGACCCAGGTTGAAGTACTTTGGTGATCATGAAACACACTGATGACTTTGGATCAGTTATTATTATCACTTACCACAACCTGTCCATGTGGTGGCTACTGGAGAAAAACTGGACTAAGGTTATAATGTATGTATCTTTGAGTTCTGAAGAAAAAGCTATAAATCTAACAATGAGTATTAAATCTGTAATAATAAAAGATAAATTATTCAGCACATTTCACCTACAGTTGGTGTGGAAATAGTCAGTGGAATTCAATACTTTTTGTTTGTTTGTTTTGAGAATGAAAGCAATAGTAACATTTAGATGTACTGATCTGCATGTTAAAGAGCTCTTCTTTGGCCAATATATTTAAGTGACTTTCAGATTTGCTACTGGATTCTGCCTGTGTATGCATCCATCATTTATATGACAGATAGGATATTGCTACTGTGATACTGCATGCTGATTTTTTTCTAGTGAGATACATGTTTATTCTAGATATGCAGCATTGCCAGTTATAACTATTGAAGTTGTATTCCTGTACATTAAAAATTACATTTATATAGATTTCTGTGACCAATCATATGTCATTATTAAACTTTAGACAGACTAAGTGGCAGTAATCCAACAAAAACATGTACGTTTTCAGTGAGAAATCAGTCTTTGCAACACATCCTAAATGTCTGTTTGGATCCAACACAGGGAAACTATGAATGAAAGTCTACTTTTCTTTATAATGAATATTATAAAGCAACATTTTATTTCAAAACCTTATGTTACTTTAATTTTCAGCATGTGAGACAGAAGCAGGCAAGGTTTGCCAGTTTTCATTAGAAGAACACATCCAGCCTTTTAAAGACAACATGGACAAATTCATTAGTCAAGGTAAATAATGACTAGTAATTTAACCTTTCAGAGCTTTATCACAAGAATGTTGTAGAAACAATATTTAGACATGGTGAATGACGTGTCTCTTTATTTTGGAGCCATAGAAATGTGCAGATTAGTTTAATCAGATGGTTTCTTATTTCAAAATAGCTTACCTGTTCTGTGCTCCCTTTCTGAATGCTATTAGTGGCCGCTGTTCAGTAAGAAAGTTTTCTGAGTTCGTATTCTGTGTTGGAAACAATTTTCCAACATTTGTTTCTTGACAGTTTCATAAACTGGTGCTTTGACTTGTGTCCAGATACATGGTGATATTTTTCAAAGGGCCTGTAAACTTCTGGGTTATTTCATTTACAGATTGCCTCTGGACAGTCATCTGTTTTGGAAACAAAATCCAAAGAATTTTCTAAAAATGTCCAGGTCACGTTCAGGAAATATAAAAAGAAATGTGGGTTTGTAGGACATAGTTTCTTTTTCATCTTCACTTCATTTTTTTCAGTGATTGATCTTTATCATGTCTTTTGTGCAGGCACAATATCATGCCCACAGAAACATACGCACAAATACACACACTCAAATTATTTAAGGGAAAAAAAGGACTTCTACTTTGGAAGTGAGAAAGTGTCTTTCTAGTGTCTTTAGTAGTAGTAGTACCATGAAATTCTTAACAAATGTACTATCAGTATTCTTCCAGAATACTGGAAGACGATACAGATGAGGCCTTGCTATATCAGGTGACTAGTATTTCAAAGAGGCATGCAATTGTGATAATGGAAGATTTAAATTATTCTGACACCTGCTGACTCTGCCAAGAATCAGAAGACTGACAAATAACAGAATAACAGAGTTGGAAGGGACCTCTAGCACCAATCTCCTGCTCAAGCAGGAGATCCTATACCTGTGTTGGCGAACCTATGGCATGCATGCTGGAAGTGACACACTGAGCCATCTCTGCCGGCATGCGAGAGCTCGCCCGGAAGAGCCTCACTGCGCATGCGTGCACACTGCCACCTGACAGCTGAATGTCAGGTATCTGGCATGTATGCACAGGGGGAAGTACATGGTGGGGGGAATCGCACCCACATACGCATTGCCTTCTGCGTACTGGTACGTGAGCAGGAGCAGGAGCGCATGCACAATTATCGGCACAGGAGCTGAAAATGGTTAGCCATGACTGTCTTATACCAGGGGTCTCCAAGCATGGCAACTTTAAGATTTGTGGACTTCAACTCCCAAGTTCCTCAGCCAGCTTTGCTGGCTGAAGAACTCTGGGAGTTGAAGTCCACAAGTCTTAAAGTTCCCATGCTTGGAGACCCCTGTCCTATACCATTCCAGACTAGTGGCTCTTCCAATCTCTTTTTAAAAGCCTGCAGTGATGGAGCACCCACAACTTCTGAAGGCAAGCCATACCATTGGTTGATTGTTCTCACTTAGAAAATTTCTCTTTAGTTCTAGATTGCTTCTCTCTTTGATTAGTTTCCATCCATTGTTTCTTGTCTTGCCTTTTGGTGTTTTCGAAAATAGGTTGACACTCCTCCCCTTCTTTGTGATCTTTTGTAGCCCTTAAATTATTCATAAATTCATATAATCTGAATTGGAGAATAATTCCTGGTTTCCCTACCATGTAGCCTTCACTGTCTGCTAAGGCTTGAAACTGATTTCCATACTTCTAGAGGGTGGATTCGACCAGTTCACACCTAGTTGCTAGAACCGGTTGTTAACATTCTAAGCAGTTTGGAGAACCGGTTATTAGAAGAAATTACTGGCCTAATCCTGTAAGGAAGGCAGGAAGGAAACATTTTGATGTTGCTTAAGAAACTGCCTCTCCGTTAACCCTTATTACATTCTTGGCAGGACTAGACTTCCTCTCTCAGGAATGTCTCTGGAGTTTCTTTCCCCTCCTTTGCTGGTACTTTGCTTGTGTGGAGTGACCATTCAAAGTTACAATGGCACTGAAAAAAGTGACTTATGACCATTTTTCACACTTACGACTGTTGCAGCATCCCCACAGTCATGAGAGGCCATGTGAGGAGATGTGTGCCTCGATGTGAGTGATGTTGAATTGACCATGCCCAGCCAGTCACATGACCACCAAGCCATGTCCACCCAGTCACATGACCACTAAGCCACGCCCACCAGCTAAGCCATGCCCACAGAACCGGTTGTTAAAAAATTTGAATCCCACCCCTGCATACTTCCCTTTACTTATCTGTCACAGTTAAAGAAACAGTAGGAACCCCGATGGAAAGAAAGGGGCTCTTTTCCCAATTGTATCATATCTCCATCTGATTTCAACTTTTTCTCTAGCCTCTTCTCCTCCCACTCCCCTTAGAAACATTCCTCTTGGCAGTTTTTCCCACCTGGAAAAACTCTGTTATAGAAAGAAAAGTACCACAAAGGACATGGATGTGCTGATTGGAAAGGGAAGCAGTGATCCTATATACGCTCTTCTTGTCAGCTAATTCTCCCATGCAGATGTCATTTCCATTTAATATCTTTCCCAGCAGAGTATTATTATTTTCTTAAAAATGCCCTATAGGAGATGTATGACCAAAACCTTTGGTTAATTTCTGTAATCGAAGTAACATTATATAGCTTGGAATATAAAATCCTCTCATTTTTATTTGGCTGGATCAAATTCAAACTTGAAAAAGTCCGTGCAGGATTTCTCTTTCCCGCCTGAGAATTTGATAGGCTTCAGTTGCAATAGGTTTTTCTATGGTCATTTGTTATTGAGGTCGATTTAATCAACGGGTTGCTTCCGCAAGACTGGACACATACAGATAATGGAGAACAAGCAAAACAAGGAAAGCATGCAGAGCACGGCTTCTGAAATTCTTTCCAACCCCTTCATTGGAGGCCCACCCAGGATCACATGACCAGGAGGGCGGAGGGCTTCAGAATGGAGCAGCCAGCAGCATTCCAGGTTGCTATCCAGCCACCTCTCCCATAGGACTGAACGGGAGGGGGGAAATCTCTGCAGCCCCTAACTGAATCCAGTCCATTTTCAAACTTGATATTTCTTTTGCTGGCATCTCTTCCACTCCAAACTAAGACTTGCTCTTTTCACTTTGGCAAGACTTGCCATGCTGACAGACAGACAGACAGACAGATAGACAGACAGCTCCTTCAGGGCATTTCTTTCCAGCATTCCATTGTGGAAAAAATAAATAAAAATGAAAAGGACCACTTTGAAGATTTGTTTGTACAAGGATGTAATCAGGAAATAATTTCAAAACAATTTTTGAAGTTTCGTTTCTTAAATCTAACAGTGAGTATATAGTTCTCCAATATGCAGTTCATGGATTAAACATTTCCTTTAAAAAAAAAAAAAAGGAAATCACGCTTTGTATTTTTTTGTACACAAGTTCTTCTGCTCAGTCTAATCTTCTTCGTATTGCCTCATCTATCGGTTGAAAGCAGATTTCCCCAAATCTTGTAAGAAAAGGATTTCTAGGAAATAAGGAGTTCACTTACAACTAGCAATAGCAACTACTGTCTTGAAACTAGGTTGCTTCCAGATATGTTGATGAAGCTTCTCAGTCATCCAGGTCTAGAAGTTGAGTCCTGGCAGCTGGACTTATTTCTTTCTTTCCATAATCTTCCTATCTAATGCAGCCTCAAACTCCACATATTTAATGCAGACGTAGCTCTAAGTCACATACAAAATTATCTGTTTTATAAACTTTATAAACTTCTGTCCCAAAGGCATCTAACCAGAAATGGAAATTAGTTTTGCCCTAGACATCTGTTAATTCCCATAATTAACATAATCCTGTAGGGAAATATTAGCGCTAGTTTATCTGGACTTCCAAATATCTGGATTGCCATTACATGATAATTAGGAGCTTCCACTTTCTGCCTTTTTGATTACCTATTTTGGCAGCTCACATAAGACAGGGGATTGGACTAGAAGGTCTCCAAAGTCCCTTTTCTTCAAAAAGGAAGAAATCATATGGCCATATGATTCTATAATTTATTTTATGTCAAATGTTCTGATTTCTTCCTTTTTGATATAGTTGTATTAAAGTGCTAAGAATAAAAAGTCCTAATTAAAATAAGGAAAATGTCTAAATGCCTGGGTGCTAGAACTGTGTGTGTGTGTGTGTGTGTGTGTGCAAGCAGTCCTCAATTTACAACTAACATTAGGACCAGAATTTTGGTTGCTAAATGATGTGATTGTTAAGTCATTGCATGATTTTACAACCATTTTCAATCTGATTTCTAAGTTAATCACATATAAATACATTATAATACATTGCTACATGTATGCACCAGAGATGGGATTCAGCAGGTTCTGATCAGTTCTGGAGAACCAGTAGCGGAAATTTTGAGTAGTTCGGAGAACTGGCAAATATCACCTCTGACTGGAGATTTTACAGTATTCTTCCCCTGCCACGCCCACCAAGCCACGTCTACAGAACTGATAGTAAAAAAATTTAAATCCCACTACTGATATGCACAATATTTTAACACTTCTGTTTAAAGAGCTGTATTGATTTAAATGTGGAAAATTCACATTATCCATCTTGCTGTTTGAAATATGGCCAAATTTTACCATGTGAGTATTATTTAAATGTAGCAAAGGAATGAGGAAAATCAAAATCAGTAAGCATGCAGAAACATTCCGACAAGGAGATGACAAGTTTCTTGCTGCATTCCATCTGTGATTTTTCATACCAGTTTAATGTTTAGTTACCCTGGGAAGTTGAGATGTTTCTTTTAAGGTCAAATAGACTGACAGTACTCCTGACATCATTTGATTCCGGTTCCCATTGATTCTAGCCAGCATGTCCACCTATCAAAGATGATGGGAGTTGCAATCTGAACTCCACTGTAAGATTTCAAGATATCAGGATGCTTTCTGTATACCTTGGTATTTAAAGAGAATGTTGATTTCTCTTTTTTATTTTAAATATGGAATTTTCATTTTTTTAATTTAATTTTTCCATAGTTCATAAAGATTATAAAGAGACTCAGCTTTTTTCAGGACAGTGTACAAGTTTCTCAACAGATGTGTGTAATAATTTCCTTAACTTAATTAAAAACATTAGTAAAAAATAAGATTGGGTTTCATCACTATGGGTAATTCTTTATATTCCATTTGAGAGCTTGGCTTCTATGGACTTGTTCCATACATGTTCTTAGAAAGGAAGTAATCTTTAACCTTTTTCTCATTAATATGATTCGTCATTTTTTCCATTTGTTGTGTCTTTCTGAATCCAGTTCTTAGTTTAGTCAATGAGATGACTTTTTCTTTGAAAAATAATTGCCATTCTTACAATTGCAAGCTCATGAAACAACAATGAAACTTTTGGTCTCCAAGAACATTCAGCAAATTTATTTTTGGCTGTAATGCAGAAATTGCCTGCTATCTTTTTTTTTTTTACTTCATGCTAAGCATACTTTCTTTCAAGATACCTATATTTCAACAGTTATTCATCACAAGCCTTCCCAGTATCAGTTGCCTTTTATTAAGAGTTAAGATCCAGTAACTAAGCAGTATGAATGTGGCACTGAGAGTCAGAAATTATTAGCTCCTTTTTCTCTAGTTATTTCTGTACATAGTTTTGTGTCATCTTCCCACCTCTTTCAAGAGTAAGACATGTGGCATAGGACTGTTGATAGCAATCACTCATCTACATTGGTTCATGTTTTCTCATTGTTCTGTTAAGCTTCTGGACTTGTTATTACTTGTACAGTTTTTATCTACAGTGGAAAAGTATTCCCATGTTCTCTGTTTCTACTTCTGTTTTTATCCTATGTCCCACACAATCATAAAGAGAGTCACAGTGCTGGTTATTGTTTAATTTAGTTTAGTTTACCTTATTGTCATTGCACCTCGTACAAACACCATCTTCAGTGCACATCATGACCATGAAAATAAATACAAACACACATCCTTCTCCTTCCACACATTGAACCAAAAACCCCTGAAACCTCACCTATACTGCACTATACAGCAGAATTCAAAAGAGCTACTGCCCTGGGATAGAAGCTGTTTTTCAGCCTATTTGTCCATGTTTTTATTATTCTGTACTGTCTGCCAGATGGTAATACTTTTTTTAAAAAAGGGTTCCCAGGATGAGATGGATCTTTGAGAATGTTTTGAACTTTCTTAAGGCAGCGGGAGCTATAAAGCTCTTCCAAAGAGGGGAGAGGGCAACCAATGATTTTCTGGTCAATGATGTTAACCCTCTGGAGTGCTGTCCTATCTGCCACTGTGCAATTGGCAAACCATACAGAGGTGCAGTATGTTAAAATGCTCTCTATGGTGCAGCAGTAGAAGGTCACCAGCAATTTTTCATTCAGTTGTTGTTTTCTGAGAAGTCTCAGGTAGTATAATCTCTGCTGGGCCCTTTTGACCAGGGCTGCAATGTGAGCATCCCAGGCCAGTTCCTCTTTTATGGTAACACCAAGAAACTTAAAACTGGCCGCTTGCTCCACTCAGTCTCCATTGATAAGCAAGAGCTGGACGTCTGATCTGTTCCACTATAAGCTCTTTGGTCTTATTGGTCTTGAGGACCAAGTTATTCTCTCCACAACATGAAAGCAACCAGTCCACTTCATCTTGGTAGGCAGACTCATCCCCCCACCGCCCGGAGATGAGTCCCACCACTGTTGTATCATCTGCAAATTTAGCAATAGTATTACTAGCATGAGTGGGAATGCAGTCATGCACATATTGTTCTCATATTCTTGCCCTTCTCATCTCCAAGAGGCTTATTCTGGAAAAGAAAAGTTTTTATGAACTGTCCTAAGGGGAGGAGGGGGGAAACGGAGATACATCTTTGAATCATAGGGTTGAAAGAGACATTGGAAGTCTTCTAGTCCAATATCCTGCCTATAGTGCAGGAATCTTCATCTCTTTTGCTTGATCTCCTTTTTATGGTATAATGTTTTAACAGTTTCAAGAAACTAATTGAACAACAATCCATATTTTTATGGTATAACGTTTTAATAGTTTAAGAAAACTAATTGAACAACATTCCACATTTCATGATTTAAAACTAAAATGTCTAAAGTTTGTATAAATCAGTTTTACACAAGATTACATGTCCATGGAATAAGCAAGAATGAAAAAAAAACGCTGCCATTTCAAGTGGCTCCTTCAGAAATGAATAAGCTTGGCAATGAACTCTAGATATTTGGTCCTCAAAAGACTAAACCTCTGGTCCTGTACATTGGCCCAGATTGGATCCTGTAACATTATCCTGCAACATGTATATTTGCCTTCATTCTAGGGGTTCACTTATATGTTAATTGTACACTGCAGTAACATTCACTAACATACCTTCCTATACTAGGAAAATCTTTTAAAAAAGTATACCTCTGCTCAAAGGATAATTATGTAATGCTTTACCCAGTTCAAATTTATTTGGCTCCAGGCCCAATTTGGCTTAATGTTAAATTGCAGGCTTAGAACAAAATGAAATGGTTGTGAAGCTAATGTTATGTTTTTCCTGCTGTCCAACCCCAAGAAGCATGTTTGTGAGCCTTAACTTAATTGAGTTTAACATTGACTCTTATTGTGGATAACTTAATGGGAAAATTGGGTGCCCTGTCATCAAACTCTGTGTCTCCAAGGGTTGTAAAATCAATATGATGAAAATATGTGGAATCATACATCCAGATTACCTGAAAGTTGGATCTCATTTCCATGAATTAACAAAGCTTTATCTTTCTCTATCCTTTGTCAATGGTTCTTAACAAAAAAAGTGGTCAAATTTCTATTTTAAAAACATGGTTTTTAAAAGTGGTTGTAGTCATTTTTCAATTTCTCCTAAGCATTTTGTCTAATGATGGGGTGTTGAGATGATGATTGGGATTTGAGAAAAAGAAAACTCTATGTAGTATTAATAACAGAGTGGTCACTTTAAACTGTTACAGACAAGTGGTACATTCATACACCAGGATGCTCTGAAACAGCTTTCAAAGATCATTACACAATCATAACAAAAACAAAAACAACAAAAAATCACTGAAGGAGAATGACGAAGAAAACCTATGTGAAACTTCTTGTTAATATGATATAGACTGCTTCAGCATTAAGTTAAATTAACACCTAATTTAGTTCAATGTAATTTAACTTCTAATGGTAGACACAATAGAAACTTTAATGGTTCTGATATTCTATTGTCCTATTTAGTTTAACTATTTCTTCAAGTCTCTTGGACCAAATGTTTGGCAAGTTCTCACTAACTGCAGTCAACATATCCAAAAAAAATTTCACTAAGATTTGTTAAGTCTAGCTTCTATTCAGCTTTTGTCAAAATAACTATATAAGTGCTTGTGTAATTACAGGTAAATCAGAGTTTCACAGTAACTTTTGATTAGTATAATTTGCCAAAAGGGAGAATTCATCTTATATTACAACACAACATCAAAAGGTATCAAATACAGCAGGGGTGTTAAACTCAACTCTTAAACTTTTTCTGGATGTACTAACTCTACATTTCATGATTTTAAAGTGAAGGCCAGGCTCGTTGATTCAAGAAGCATGTAAATAATCCCGAGACATTAGTTTTCTCCCCCAGAGTATGTGCAATGAGAGCTTATTTAATAACATCACTGCAACAATTTATTTATAACTTTATTTATCTATAACTTTATTTTCTGTTTGTTACTTAGCTAAAACTGACCATGAGATGGAAGAAAAATCTCTGGCAGAGACGCACAAAAGGTGAGAGATGAACAAGTTTAATTTGAAAAGATTTCCTTTGATACCCATTGATCCTAGATCATGAAAGAAATCTTAAAGGACAATCATGCAATGATAGTTTATTTGAGATCTTTGGGTAGCAAGTGCTCTCACATATTATTTAGGCTTTTGCTGAAATTACTACAGTGCTACACAAAGCACTCAAATAAAGTGGTTGTTTGCTTGAAATTGTGGGAATTTTTCTCTAGACTAAAAACAGATGCATTACTCTTATTCTATATTTAAGGCTCCCCACTACATACAAAGGAAAGGAAAAAAGATGGTATTAAATTATTAATCATACTGAAAATTCAACATTGCTTTTATGTGTCAAATTAAGTTTGCAAAGAACCCACTGCTGTCTGTCTAATTCAGTAATGATGTAAGCATTAGCAAGAACTGAGGCTTTGAAGACTTTTTAGTTGTTATTGCACAATTTCTTTTCTCTTCCTTTTTGCAATTTCCTTGCTAATGCGGCTTACTTTAAGAACTGGTTTTAGTAACAAATGGAATATATTTTAGAAATTTCCACTGCTATTAAAGCCAATTCTTAAAATTCATGTTTTCCAAATCCACTGGAAATGACAGAGCTGCCAAATTTTGAATCATGGCTTTACAAAATTAAGTATTTATATATGTAAGCATCTCTGCCTAAGTCCAAACAGATTCTAGAAATGTTAGGAACACTAGAGAACATCCTTAAGGAAAAATGTATTCCTAATTAGGTTAGGAATGTTTCCTTAGGTTAAATGGCTTTGAATTTATTTTGGTTGTACCTGTGATTTGTCCATTATTTGCTTCATATTCATTAGTAGTTTAAATACCTGGGTGCTTGCCTTAGTCTCCTTCTCGCTCTATAAAAGGTTGGAGAAGTCTGAATCTCAAATATTTATTTAATTTAAGTCTTCATATATTGGGCAGAAAAAAACTCTGTTAAATTGAAAACACTTTACTTAGAGGCATTGCATGAGTAGACAGAAGGAAGGAACTGTGCAGTCTTGAAGACATGGGCCACATAAAGTCTTTGAGTTCTTATATCCTTGATCGATTATAGTCATGTTTTTGCAGATTTATAGTTGCACTTTGAAAAATATACCTCTCATGTGTAAAGAGAACTGGCTATTAGAATACACTAAAGGAAGGGAAAGAGAGAGATTGATCTCACCTTTTGTATATGGGGATATTTCAGTTATTGCATTTATAAAATTATTGCAGTAGTGCTTAAGAATTCATTAAAGCATCTTTAGATGAACAATTGGGCAATCTCCAATTTGCCAGTGTTTCATTGTTTAATAGTAGCCCTGAAGCAGGTGGCTGATTTTGGTTTTCTATTTCTATTTTGTCTCTTTTTTAACTGAAAACTTTTAACTTTTTAAACTTTTGACAACAACAACATAACATGCTGTGATTTTCTAAAAATCACATTATGTTACTGAACTCTGTGATAATCCATTGTTATGTGATCAATGTCTAAATACAGGATTATCTAAATAGCAGGATTTTACCAGCTCCCCTCCTTCCCACTCATGCTCTCCCCATATATTTCAGATAGTAGTTCAGTTTATTCCCAGAGCAGATTTTAAAGATGCAAGAAAAAAGGAATTCTTCTGTGGAAATTAATTCACAACAATTTACCTTTGGATTCCATCCTATAATACACAGGTGTGGCACTGAAACATTTAGAGACAAAAAATCTTCCAGGGATCATAAATGCATGTCATCGTGAATATGCTTTTTAAAAAAATACAGCTATCTATGTCTTTAACTTGCTTTGTATGTATGAACTTTCAGATTTTTTTTAGCATTTAATATTGCTAACCAACAGGCGGGCAATTTGTTTGTATAATAATTTTCTTTTTATATTATATGGTGTAGAAAAATACTCCTTTATATTACCACAGTAAACTGGGTTGCTTTTTTCTTCCTCTAACGTATACATGCTGTCAAAATTTTATTTACCATTCAAACTATGTCAATGTCAAAGACACTTTTGGGGCGGAGGGTGAGAGGAGAGCTCAAGAAAACTAAATAAATAAGAGATTAGTTGCATTCTGCTAATCATGGGTAAAATAGCTAGGCACTGGGTGAATAGACGAGTTACTGCTAGCTGCAGTGATGGATTAGCTGAAGCACAATTAATGTGATTTAATGTGGTTGGATTTTTCTTTTTGAAGTGACTATGTGCCACAGAGTGTCTATGTCATGATTACATGTCTTAGAATGACAAGAAAACATTGATTCATTGTTTGAAATGGAAAAACGGTTTTACAAACGTTGCCTCTCTATGGCATTGTAAAGCCAACCAGCCATGAAAGAAAATGAAATAGCTAAAACGTTCTTCAAGTGGATACTGTTTTAAGCACAATGCTTCTAGAAAAATCTAATTGTTTATCAGTTGAGCTGAAATGGAAAATTAATCTTTCACGCATAATGAAATGGTATGTTTGACCTGTGGATTCTATAAAGTCTCTGGCTGTTCATTTGTCAGAAGTGAGCTGTTTAATCGTTTCTGAAAGGCTGTATACATTTTTATTTATTTATCATATTTAGTGACTTTAAGACCGACAAAGTGTGAAGTGTTTATTCAAGAAATGGGTTTCTGGCACACGAGCAAAAAAGAAAAGTGAAATGTTTACTTCCCAATAACAGCACATTGTGTGATCTCTGGGTAAGGATCCTGAGACAAGAAAAAACCCCACACCATTCTGTGTTTATCCAGCTTACACAGGCAGACAAGGAAGGCTCCAGCCTGTTATTAAAGTTGAAGTGATACAGCCCCAAACAATGACATCAGTCCCTGAATAATATTGATAAAGTGCAAGAGCAAAAGATATGACACTTCCCAATTTCAGCTTTCATGAGCAGTTCTCAAGAAACCATAAAATATTTGACACAGTCAAGTGAAAAATACAGCTTGCTTCAAAAGAAAGACTTGAGAGTGTCTCAGGCATAAACATTCACAATTTTCAGTGAAGACAGAGACTGTTTTTCAAGATCTCAGCCCCAAGTCTTTTCTCAGTCATTCTATGTGAGATCCTTTTTTTAACAAAAATAGGTCTGGCAAAAATGGAATTTGTTATCTTTTTTTTAAAAAAAAATGTGTGTCCTTCTGCTCAGTAACGACTCAACTGCGTGAAACTTGATGTGTGCATAATCAGCACCGTGTCTTTAATTTAGAGGTGGAGAGGTAGAAAGAGAAATCCCATTTTTAGGAAATCAGGGGAAAAAAATTAAAAGGTCTCTACTTTTCTTCTGGAGAGCTGAGATCTTCAGCATTCTGTGCAAAAGCTATATAAGTTTTGACTGAAACAGCTAGAATCTCAAATTAAGGAACTATCTGGCCTAAAGCAATTTAAAAATCAGTTCATTTGTCTATCTCACTTTCTGACTTAGCCCTTAAATGCTAGATACAGCTATTTCTCAACTTATGACCACAGTTGGGACTGGAACTTCCATCATTAAGCCATGTGATTATTAAGTGAATCCCAGCTGATTTTGCTACCTTTTTTGCCATCGTGGTTAACCAAATCACACAACTGTTAAACCAATCCAGGTTTCCCAATTGAGTTTGTTCTTTGGAAGCTCCCCCCCCGCCGCCCCCCAAAACTGCAAATGGTGACAATGGGATCCCAGGATACTGCAACTGTTGTAAAATACATGCCAGTTGCCAAGCACCCGAATTTTGATCATGTAAAGAGGTGAATGTTGCAACAGTCATAAGTGTGAGGACTGGTGATAAGTCACTTTGTATAATAATTGTATACTGTCTTAATTTCAAATAATCATTAAACAAATGGTCATAAGTCAAGGACAATTACTTAAATTGCTTGTGATGCTCAATTATTATTTGAGCTTCCATTTTTTAAAAGAAATTTGAAAGTGAACAATTTATCTGTCTTGAAGAGTTTATATCGGATGGAGGGAAGGTAGCTGGGAAAGCAGGAAAATGAACCCAGGCATCTGTATGTATGTGGATATACTGCAAAGTCAAAAGAGAAGCTCACATATATGTTTCAAGGTGAAACATGGGATTCTGTGGTGCATCTTTGTGTGTCAATTCTTGAAAGTGTGTATTTCATAGTAATTTTTTTCCAGTAATCATGATGAATAATTTTTGCTGTCCTGGACTTCCTTTTCTATAGATTGTTTCTGTGTGTGCTTTTGATTTTATGTGCTTCACTGTTTGGTATGTTTCTAGAACTAACTAGCTATTATTTATTGTCATGCACATACAGTATGTTCTTTCCTTGACATTTGGATGATATATAAAAGATATACCATGGCAAATTCTGAAAAATGCATGATTATATCATAACACAGTCCTTTAAGCATCCCTATGACTGATTATTTAAAATGGCATATGAATATTTTCCCATATCCAATGGTTCCTAAGCGGTGCTGCTGGTTTCTCAGCAAAGTATCTTTACTGGTGATGTTGCAGTAGTCCTTTTTTCTCAGCTGGTCTCTGATGCAAATGCACATGTCTCTATTTGAGTATCATAGTAGCAACTGTGAACTTCTGGTAATAAGAGTGGAGGCAGTTGTATAAGCAGCAATGCTTTAAATTCCTACTCCAGTAACTCCTAGCAGGATTCATAGCAGACATATAAGAAAACTAAAAATAGAAATATTTATTTTATTTTATTTTAAATAGCTATTATAAACCATTTTCATGCTTATTTCAGTGCATGTTCTCTTTGTAATAGTCTTGTCTAGATAAGAAAGAAATCTTAATATAGTATCCCAAACACAGTCAAACTTATTTCGGAGCTAGAATTCAAATAAAGATAAAGAGTTGGCATTTGAAATTTCATTGTCATTCTCATTAAGTAGATCAAGGAACTAGAAGAAGGTTTATTTAAGGGGAAAATGTCCTCTTTTTTTTCCTTTTTCTTTTTTTAACATAGCAGCATCCAGGAAAGTTGCTTCATGTAGTTGGTTTGGGGGCTTTTAACATCTGCTGCTACCCAGTGAACTTTGTG